CTTGATCTCTTTCCCCTGGAGCACCGTCGCCTACGAGGGGACCTAATCCTTGCTTGCGCCCTGCTTGAACAAAGCTCGGCCAACAGGTTTTTCTCCGTCGACCAAGCACGCACACGGCGGGGACATGGCGAAATTATTATCAAGTTCAGGGCGGACACGTTCATTAGGCAAAATTTTTTCTCACTTCTCTTTCATTGCAGTATAAGACGCTTATTTGTGCGAATCCTCGCCGCGGCAAGCACACTGCTCCGCGCTGAGGACATAAAGAGCAGCACTACACCCTTTCTTCACTCGTGCCTTTCAGGCGAACGAAAGCCGCTGAAAGACAAGAACGAAACCGACCCGGTAAATATGGGCAAAAGCCTCGATCCTGTGTAGCGATCCGTGAATCCATTCCCGTATTGTTTGCATGTAGTTCCACGTCTCAATGGAGCCCACGTCGGACCGCTTTCCGAAAATACCAACGGAGTTGTCCACTCAGGACCCAAAGAGTTAGCCCTCGTTGTGCGTGTCCAAAGAGCTTCTAAGAAAATGGTTGACTGTTTAAGAACGGTGGATTTTGAAACTCATCACGCGGTGCGCGGCCCTTTTTCCCGGAAGCATTGTGGCCTCAGTGGAGTCCTAGTACTAACTTGTGCCCTGGGTGGGTCAGGTTTGGCCAGCAAATTTTTCATCGTTGACCCGAGGCAAGGTCATGGTAAGAAGATTTCCGAGCTTAGAGTGCACAATACGCCCATTTGCATATCGATATGGTTCTCAAGGTCGACCGAACTGAAACCACTTTCACGCCATTCCTCAACTTAAGTTGCTGCACAAAGACCGCCTCATGTTTAATTGGCACAATATTCAAGATATCACAGTATACATTTAGAACTCATGCCTCTATTTGGCAAACGTTTTTCTGAATACGACAGTTGTTGCCTAGACTAACCTTCCCATGACGGATGTTAGAGTTGCATCCCATACTGAGTTCAAAACGCTTTCAAAGGGCCTTAATGTGAGTCCTCGCGCCTACAGGCTTACTGCTCCGTGCTGAGAACTTTAAAGCAGTTCTACACCATTTTTCGCTTGCGGATTCCAGGTGGGCGGAAACCGTTGAACAGAAATAACAAACCCGTCCCGGGTGCTTGGACGAATGCCCGTGTAGCAACACGTGAATCCGCAAATCAGTGTTTGCCACTGACCGGTTATTCGCGCTCTTTCTAGAACCCAGTTTAAAGCTCCATTAGACACTTATTTATGCGAATCCCCCCGCTGGCGAACATACTGCCCGTGCTGAGAACATAAGGAGCAGTGCTACACCCTTTTTTCACTTGTGCCTCTCAGGTGAACGACAGCCACTGACCGACAAGAACAAAAGAGACCGGGGAAACTTGGGCAATAGCCTCGATCCTGTGTATCAATCCGCGAGTCCGTGAATCCGTGACCTTGAGCCATGGCAGTTCGGTCGGCGTTGGCCATTGGTTGGCATCTCGTCTGGGGTTATGTCTGTGGGCTCGGAAGCCGTCAGATCTCAGCAGCATCATCGACAACGAAACATGATTCTCTACCGTCGATGCTCCGCTGCAGCACAATCGTGATTTTATCTAAAAACATTGTTGCGAAGAAAGTAACCGAAATGGATAAGGACGGGATCTAATACTATCGCAGTTCTTCCCAAAGTATCCAGACGCTTATTTAGATGATCGAAATAGGATCGGACAGCAAGATGCCACTGAAATCGTCCGCGTAATATGCACATTATCGAGTGGACTAATCCTCCAAAGGCCGGTGTTCATGACAATATCTGTGGATGGAAAACTGAGAGAAGGTTCGTGAGCCGAAACCCAGTAGACAAGATTGTACATCACCAATACCTACATGTAAATCAACTAAAACGGCAGGCACTTGCACCACATTTGGTAGCTATATCTTACAGCCACCTCGGCCGTGCTCAGGTGCACTCACGCATATCCAGCATGTGTATAAGTTTATTTGGTAGACTCGGAGAGCGTTCAACAGTGTCCTAATTTCCGGAGTGAGTGGATAAAAGTGGGGAAAACGCTAACCCTCATCCTTCGGGGTGGGGTATATAACCGGGTTAACAGTGTCTAATAGCGTATAATATAAAAGCAATACGCTTCACCATGTTGGGTGACACTGCTGATGATGAAAGCGCATGGATCACGTTGGTGATATGATGAGAATAAACATCTTGGCGGTCCCCCTTCCTTCATTCTTACACGGTTCCTGTAGCTGAAAATACTGTCCTGTCGTGTTAGCCGTTGCGTAAGTATGATTTCCGGGTGTCATTACTTGATGCTTATAGCGGAGTGAGTAGGCGAAAACAGGCTACTGCTGATATTCTTCTTTCTCTTTCATTGCATACTTTTTCTTCCCCCTCTCCCCACCCCATTAATAACTCTCTCCTTGTAGGCCCAGCACTTAGGACTGATGACNCTAATGACTCCATTTTTATCTCCACCAGCGCTAACTGTCTCAGGTATAACAAAGTGACCTTTAGGCATCTAAGCTCGGTCCACCCGGCTGTTTTTATTGTTCGTGGTCTGAAGCAAGCAGAACAATAAGCTTTTCCCTCTATTACAGTAGACTCGCTTGGTGTGTGCTGTGTATCAGGGACCGGAATTCGATACTCAATGCCAGTCATCGAGCATACTGCCATATCACTCTCCATTCGCTATCGCCTACACACATGTGGTGATCTGCAGGCCCGCGGCAGAATGTGCGGTGGTATAGATCACCTCAAGTCACTGGGCAGAAAATTTCTTGCTTGTTTGGATACCCGTCAGTGTTATCCTCTGTGTGGTCCGTCTGAGAATGTCCATGATGAAGTCTCACAACTGGAACACCATCGGAGACAAATTTTGTGACCCCCTGAACACTCTGTTGTGGCGAGCTAAAACCTGAGATATAGCTGTGTTTGCGACAGGTTTGAATGCACAAGCGCGGAGAATTAGCGCATCTGAGGCTCAGTTGTACCCGATGCATACTGACACCAACGAACGACTGCTCCAGCTGCATTTATCGAAGACTTTATGATGTGATAACTTCCGAATAATCAAAGCCATCTGGCCACATGATATCCTCCAACAGTGTGTCAGCCGCTAGGCCAAATCAACCACACCGTCATCAGTTACCGATGGTGCGAATGAGCAGCTGACTGGAGCTCGTTTTAGAACATTGTCGATTCTGACCGTGCACTCACTCTTCGCTTTCCAGGGTCGTGTATAGGGCGGACCCTGGTCACTGGTACATTTTTCAGTACGATTGAATTACTGAAAAGGCCAAAAAGTTTGGCGCTTTTCAGAGGGTGTCTGCTATGTTTATCAGCCAGACGTTTGTGCCTTACTACCTGTAACCTTGGACCAGTTGTATCAGACTATTGACTCACTGGCTCCGGCCCAGAGTTTCAGTCAGGGGATAGGGCAGGGTTTCCAAACAGAATTTTGAATCCTCCTACTGCCATGTGGATCGTGACTTTAGTCGGAGTCTCAAGATGGAGTGCGTCAGCCGAACTCATTTCTTGGTTCTGGACAACTAGTTAGAATCGTCTTTGCGGCTCTTCGTTCACCGTCCCTCACTCATGGCTCCTTTCCACTCATTGATTGATGCCCGGTGATCAACCCAGCGAAACAAACCGAAAATAATC